GTTGTGCTGTTGTTGCTGCTGCTGCTCTTGCTTCTGCTGCTGCTGTTGCTGCTGCTCCTGCTGCTGCTGCACATCAACCTGCATTTCATCTTCTGCGGGCTGTGCCTGCACCCGTTCCTCTTGGTGTTCGTTTTGTTCTTGTTTTTGGAGTTGTTCGTGCTGCTGCTGCTGCTGCTGCTGCTGCTGTTGCTGCTGCAGTTGGTGCTGGGCCAGCAGCAGCTGCTGCCGCTGCTGCAGCACACCGCCAAGGGTCTTGCTGACGAGTGCAGCAAGGGGCTGACAGCTGCGGGGGTGCAGCGGCATGAATCTTGCTGCTGCTGCTTCAAGCGAGATCCCGAGAGCCTCTAGGACTTGGGTTTCGCTTACCATTGCTTCTCCTGCTCCTGCTGCTGCTGCTGCTGCTGCTGCTGCTGCTGGTTCTGCTGCTGCTGTGGGGGCCAGACACCCCGTTACTGTACAGCGAGCCCGCCGCCGGCACCGCGTTGTCAATACACCTGAACGAAGCAAAGCCCACGCTCTAACCAGCTGCAGCAGCAGCAGCAGCAGCAGCAACAGCAGCAGCAGCAGCAACAGCAGCAGCTCCAGCAGCAGCAGCAGCAGCATCAGCAGCAGGTGTAGTTTTATATCTTACCTGCAGCCTCAATGGCAGCACGAAGAGCTGCTTCTGAGGTGAATACAAAGGGGCCAGATAGAAAGACAGTAGCAGCAGCTGTACATACACCCCAGGAGGATTTGTTTGTTTGTGGCATCTCTGCTAGCAGCTGCTGCAGCGAGAAAGAAGAAAAAGAAGAAGGAAGCAGCAGAGAAGAAAGGTTATCTAGCCACTGACGGCTTGCTGCTGCTGCTGCGTGCTGCTGCTGCAGCACACGCACACGCTCCTGCTGCTCCTGCTCTTGCTGCTGCTGCTGCCGCTGCTGACGCCGCAGCATCGCCTCCTTCTGCTTAGCTGTTAGTACCCCTCTTGGGGGGCCCCCCCGGGATGCCTGAATGCTGCTGCTGCTGCTGCTGCTGCTGCTGTTGCTGCTGCTGTTGTTGCTTGGGGGCGAGCTGCTAGAACTTGCCACAGACTTCGTTCTCCTGTCTCGGGGTGAAGCTCGCGGCGCTGCTGCTGCTGCTGCTGCTGCAGGTGCTGCTGCAGTTGCTGCTGCTGCTGCTGCTTTGCGGGGGCCCCCGAAGATATGGCTCCAGGGGCCCGTCAGCCCCTTTGCTTCTTCCAGTTGCTGCCGGGGGGCCCCTCCACGTCTTTCTTGCCGCTCTTGCCGTTGCTGCTGCTGCTGCTGTTGCTGCTGTTGCTGCTGCTGCTGCTGCTGCTGCTGCTGCTGCTCACCGTCGTCGTCTACGTCGATGGCCTCAATAGCCTCAACCTCGTCAATAGGCGGAGGCCGCTTGTGGTGTTGTCTTTCATCCTCCCCTTTCTCAGCAGCAGCAGCAGCAGCAGCAGCACAAGGAGTAGCAGCAGCAGCAGCAGCAGCAGCAGCAGCGTTCCGGGCCTGCATGAGCCTGCGGCTTCTCTTGAGGCCTGGGCCATTCGCTTCGCCCGAAGCTGATGCATCTGTTGCTGCTGCTGCTGCTGCAGCTGCAGCAGCAGCAGCAGATGAATCATCACGGCTGCTGCACTGAGCACCAGGAGCAGCAGCAGCAGCAGCAGCAGACACCTGCTGCGTGCGGCTTTTCCTTTTGCTCCTGGGAGGGGTTGCCATTACAGCCTCGCATGCATCTG